TGAAACAATTTCTGAGCCCAACTCTTCAGACAGAGATGGGACTGGACTGTGGGACATAAAATGATACTTGTGAGGAGTGTGCCTCTTAGCTCAAGTAGATACAAGAGACTAAACGGGCAGCTTCTGTCTGGAGGTGAGATGGGAAGGCAGAGAGGGTTAGGAGATGGTTGAATGGACATGGGGATTCAGGGGTGGAGAGGAGGAGTGTGTTGTCACAGAATAGGGGGAGCAATTAGGATCACATAACAATGTATGTATAAATTTTTGTATGGGAGACTAACTTGAAATGTAAACTTCATTTAAATTACAACAATAAAAAGAAAAAAAAAAGATTAAAAAAAAAAAAGGGGCCCCCAACAGGTCACGATTTTTCTTTTATTTCCTTGAACTCGAGAACTGCCATTTCACATTATCGTTTTCTCAAGCTTTGTCTCTGTCGTTCCAAAGCTCTTGCTCAAAAGCATAATAATCCTCTGGAAATAAAAACCTTCTGCAGTGATAAAAATGCAGTTTTCTAGAATGCTTTTCTAGAACTAGAAATTTCTAGAAGGTAAACTCAGCTTTGTAGCTCCAATCATAAAAGATTAGAATTACAATGTCATCCCACTGGCACTTCTGTGTCTCTCGCCTCCCTCACCAAAGAATTCCAAAGAATAGGAATCTTTATTTCTAACAGATGTGTGTTACTCTGTGTTTCAGAATGAATAGCCAGTTTGGCCTTGAAGATTAGCCTGGCTCCCAGCTGAAAATCCCTCCCTGACACCCAGATTTGCCAAGTTTGGTGTGCCCAGGCAAGGCCATCTCCTCTGTGGAGATGTACTGGGGATGAGTAACCCCCTAGGGATCCGGATTAAACATCAAGACAGCAAAAACAAATCGATGAATCATATTGCTGTCGTTTAAAAAGAAAGTTTTTTTAAAGTTCAAGTCTCGATTCATCATTCCTGTGTTTTTGTTTCAAACCAAACTCCCCAGGCTGCAAATTTCTTTTTATTTTTCTGTCAGAAGTTCCAGAAACAAAAGTAACCATAATTATTTTCAGCCACACAATAAGGACTAGGGATGCTCATTCAGAATCTGTGCAAAATTAAATACTTCTCAGAATGAGAAGCATTCTCTCACACCAAGCCCTGCCCCATCTCAAACTGTTACTTCTTTCCCCAGGGAATAAATGTACCCTCCGAATACCAAACCCGGGATTTGTTGCCATTCAAACACAGTAAACAATTTTTTAGATAAGAACAAGGGGCCTTTCAGTAAGCAGTCATGAGTTTTTGAGTAGAAACAAAAGTATAATTGATAAGCCTTCTTATCTGAATTTTGCCTCTGAAGACAAGCAGGGAATAATTTAAAATGTTTCGAAAATTTATTTTCCGCTCAATTTCTGCTTTCATAATGATAATGGGGAGTAGTGTGGCGGAGAACTTTCATCTTCAAAGTCATGGTCACAATACTGCTAAAGTACAAGGCAATGGCCTCACTAACAAGCAGGGAAACTGAGGCTGGGGCATATGAACAAGTCCCCAGTGGAGGCAAGTCAGGAGTCCCTGGGGTGGAGGGTGGCTGGCATTCACACTACTCCCCTTTCTCAATGAAGAGCTACCAGCAGACCATGGATTTGGGGACACAGAACATTTGTGTGACTCTCAGGGACTTGGAATCCGCCAAAACAAGGAAACTGCAGAACCAGCAAGATAGCACATTTCTTTCTGCTTTGAGAAAATAAAATTTAAATTATTTACTAAAGGAGCCTGGTGGGAGAGCTGTAAGTGCGAACATTTGTGTGTGAACAAAGGTAGGTCGTTAATAAGAGGTTATGCAGATTCAACCAGGTATTCATACTTGAAAGAACACACGCTTAATAAGGTAGCAGAGAATGAGTAACTACAATAAAAACAGACACAACCGTTTGCCCCCCGCCAAAGAGTGCTGATATAGGAGAAGTTTTAAACAAATTGGTAAATGCTAGTTTTCACTCTTTTATTAGCACCACACACAATAAACCAGGAAAAAAAAAAAAAAGAAACTCATTGCCGTCGAGTTGATTCTGACTCACAGGGACTCTACGGGACAAGGCCGAGCTGCCCCATAGGGTTTCCAAAGTTGTAATCTTTATGGAAGCATACTGCCACATCTTCTTCCCACGCCACAGTACCCTGGGAAAAACCAGACAGGGCCCAAAGAGTGGACTTTGAGAGGCCAGCAAGCAGCAGAGGGGCGAGGGGCGTACTCAGCTTTAAAGGGCCAAGCCATCGCCCAGAAATTGCAGCCATTACTGGGGGCTGACTCGTCGTATATGTACAGGTGGACGGGGGTAGGGGAAACTAGGAACAAGGGGGCTCTGGAAATCATGGAATTCCTGGAAATCTAGCAACTGAGCATCTTTAGAGCGGGTCAGGTCCTGGGCCCATAAAGGAGATGGTGACTAGAGGTGTACGTGCCCTGTTTGAAAAGGCAGCCGCACACTATCTTCCACTGGAGGGCACTTGACATAGGAGACTGACTGTATGAGCCTGTATTTCTATCCGCTGTGTGATATGCTCTGCCTTGTCTAATCCCCTAAGGGCAGACATCATCCCCATAACAGAGGAGGAACCTGAGGTCTATAGGTTAAGTGAGGTGCCCTGAAGGAAGCCCACTGCCAGGAAACAACACAGCCAGGACAGCGCTCTCTTCTAACATCCATGCGACACGTGACTGTGAACCAGGCATGGCTGCATGTGTCGAGGTCAGCAGTGAACAAGACAGCCTCCCTCATGGGGCTCACACTATGGATGGATGGGGAGACCGACCACGATGAAATAAATATTAGTATGTCAGGCGGCAGTAAGTGCAGAGAAGAAAAGACAGTGAAGGGGGTAAGGAAGGCCCAGGAGTGGGTGGGGGGCATTGTAAGCAGTGTGGAAAGGGAAGGCCTCAATGAGGTGGTGATGTTTGTGCAAGAACCTGAAGATGGTGAGAGTTAAGCCAGGTGGATGTCTGGGGAAGAGTGCTCCAAGCAGAGAAAACAGCTTGGTCAAAAGGCCCGAGGCAGGAGTATGCCTGGTGGACTCAAGATATCACAAGGAGAGCAGGGAACAAGGGGAGAGTATAAGGAAATGAAATCAGAGAGGTAAATAATAGGGGACCCACCTACAGAGCCATGCAGGCTACTGTAAAGACAAAATTTTGAAAGATCTCTCTGGCTGCCCTAAAGAGACTAGAACGTAAGTGGGCAAAGGAAAACAGAGGGAGATGTTAGGAGGCCAGTGCAATCATTCAGGCGAGGGATGCTGGTCACTTGGGCCAGGACAGAAGTGGTGAGGTGACGGGTGATAGTTGGATTCCAGGTATATTTTGAAAGATAGAGCCAGCAGCATTTGCTAATGAAGTGGATGTGGGGTATATGACAAACAGGTGAGTCAAGGATGGCACCAAGGTTTCTGGCCTGAGCAACTGGAAGATGGAGCTGCCATTTTCTGAGATGCACAAGACAGCAGGAAGAAAGTTTTGGATATGTTAATTGGATAGCTAGGTGGCCATGCTGGGGAGGCAGCTGGATATCAGAGTCTGGAGTTCAGAAGGTAAGTCCAAGCTAGAGATGTAAATGCGGGAGTCATCAGCATAGGGATGGCATTTAATTCCAGAAAACTGGATGAGATCACCCAGACAGTGAGTGTGCAGTGAGAAAAGAAGAGGTCCAGGGACTAAGCCTGGACACTCTGGTGTTTATAGAGATCAGGGAAACCAGGAGGAGGTGGCAAACCTCCTCATGAAATATGGTGCGTGTTTTTCACGTTTAAAAAAAACAAAAAAAGCTCTTTCTTTTTTTTATTACTTTTTTTCATACAAAAATTTATACTTACATTGTTATGTGACACTAATTGCTCTCCCCACACTGTGACAGCACACTCTGCCTTTCCACGCCTGATTCCCCATGTCCATTCAACCAACTCCTAACCCTTTCTGCCTTCCCATCCCACCTCTGGACAGAAGCTGCCCGTTTAGTCTCTTGTATCTACTTGAGCTAAGAGGCATACTCCTCACGAGTATCACTTAATGTCCCACAGTCCAGTCCAATCCCTGTCTGAAGAGTTGGCCTCGGAAATTGTTTTAGTTCTGGAAAAAAGCCCTTTCTTGATGTAGACAAGCTACAGACAAAGTATTTGTAAACCATATATCTGACAAAGGAGTAGTATCTAGAATATGTAAAGAACTCTCAAAACACAACAGTAAAACAAACAAAAAGTCCAATTAGAAAATGGGCAAAACATACAGACACTTCATCAAAAAAGATATACGAATGGCAAATAAGTATATATGAAAAGATGTTCAACATCAGTAGCCATGAGGGAATGCAAATTAAAACCTCAGTGAGATACTACTACAAATCTATCAAGAGTGCTAAAATAAAAAATAAAGACAACACCAAACACTGGCAAAGATGTGGAGAAACTAGACGGCTCATACACTGCTAGTGGGAATGTAAAATAGTACAGCCACTCTGGAAAACAGTTTGTCAGTTTACCATAAAATTAAAATTAAGCATACAATTACCATATAACCCAGCAATTATACTCTTGGGCATTTATCCTAGACAAATGAAAACTTATGCTCACAAAAACCTATACATGAATGTTCACAGCAGTTTTATTCATAATAGCCCCAAACTGGAAACAACCCAGATGTCCTTCAATGGGTGAATGGATAAATAAACCATGGAATACTACAGTACTCACAATAAAAAGGAGCAAACTATTGATATACACAACAACACTGACGAACTTCAAGGGAATTATATTGACTGAAAAAAGCCAATCCTAAAAAGCTACATACTATATTCAATTTATATAACATTTTTTTAAATGACAAAATTACAGAAATAGAGAAGGGATTAGTGGTGGCCAGGTTAGGGACAAAGGGTGTGGTAGTGGTGAGGGTCAGGAGGGAGATGGATGAAGTTAAAAAAGGGCAATATGAGGAATTCTTGTAATACAATTGTTTTGTATCTTGACTATGGTGGTGGACATTATGAACCTACACATGTGATACAACTGCATAGAATACACACAAATACAAGTAAAACTGGGGAGATGTGAATGAGATTGGTGGATTGTATCAATGTCAATATAATGTAGTATAGTTTTGCAAGATGTTACCATTGAAGAAGAACAAAGTAGGAGGCCTCACACTACCTGATTTTAGAATCTATTATACAACCACAATAGTCAAAAAAGCCTGGTACTGGGACAACAACAGACACATAGACCAATAGAGCAGAATAGAGAACCCAGATGTAAATCTATCCAAGTATGAGCAGTTGATGTTTGACAATAGCCCAAAGTCCATTAAATGGGGGAAAAGACAGTCTCTTTAACAAATGGTGCTGGCATAACTGGATAACCATCTGCAAAAAAATGAAACAGGACCCATACCTCACACCATACACAAAAACTAACTCAAAATGGATCAAAGACCTAAATATAAAAACTGAAATGATAAAGGTCATGGAAGAAAAAGAAGGGACAATGCTAGGGGCCCTAATACATGGCATAAATAGTATAACCATAACTAACAATGCACGAACACCAGAAGAGAAACTAGATAAATGGGAGCTCCTAAAAATCAAGCATTTATGCTCATCAAAAGAATTCACCAAAAGAGTCAAAAGACAATCTACAGACTGGGAAAAAATTTTTGGCTACGACAAAGTCTAATCTCTAAAATCTACAAGATACCGCAATAGCTCAACAACAAAAAGACAAATCACCCAATTAAAAAATGGGCAAAGGATATGAATAGATACTTCACCAAAGAAGACCTTCAGGTGGCTAACACACACACGAGGAAATGCTCACGATCATTAGCCATTAAAACCTGTTGCCGTCGAGTTGATTCCAACTCATAGCAACCCTATAGGACAGAGTAGAACTGCCTTATACTGTTACCAAGGAGCACCTGGTAGATTCGAACTGCCAACCTTTTAGTTAGCAGCCATAGCTCTTAACCACTATGCCTCCAGGGTTTCCAATTAGCCTTTAGAGAAATGCATATCAAAACTACAATGAGACACCATCACTCCAACAAGCCTGGGACTAATCCAAAACAACACAAAATAACAAATGTTGAAGAGGTTGTGGGGAGATTGGAACTCTTATGCACTGTTGGTGGGAATGTAAAATGGTACAACCACTTTGGAAAACAATTTGGTATTTCCTTAAAAAGCCAGAAATAGAAATATCATATGATCCAGCAATCCAATTCCTAGGAATACACCAGAGAGAAATAAGAGCTGGCACACAAATAGACAAATGCACACCCATGTTCACTGCAGCACTATTCACAATAACAAAACGATGGAAACAACCTAAATGCCCATCAACAGATGAATGGATAAACAAATTATGATACATACACACAATGGAATACTATGCAATGATAAAGAACAATGATGAATCTGTGAAATATCTCACAGCATGGGTGAATCTGGAGGGCATTATGCTGAGTGAAATAAGTCAGTCACAAAAGGACAAATATTCTATGAGATCACTATTATAAGAACTCAAGAAAAGGTTTAAACACAGAAAAAAGCATTCTTTGATGGTTACGAGGGTGGGGAGGGAGAGGGGAAATCACTAACTAGATAGTAGACAAGGGTCAACTTTGGTGAAGGGAAGGACAGCACACAATATAGGGGAAGTCAGCACAATTGGACCAAAGCGAAAGCAAAGAAGTTTCCCAGACATATCCAAACACTCTGAGGGACACAGTAGCAGGGGCTGGGGCCTGGGGACCACAGTTTTGGGGGACACTACCTAGGTCAACTAGCATAACATAGTTTATAAGGAAAATGTTCTACATCCCACTTTGGTGAGTGGCGTCTGGAGTCTTAAAAGCTTGCAAGCGGCCATCTGAGATACATCTAGTGGTCCCATCCCACTCAGAGCAAAGGAGAATGAAGAAAACCAAAGACACAAGGAAAATAATAGCCCAAAAGACTAAAGGGCCAAATGAACCAGAGACTCCACCAGCCTGAGACCAGAACTAGGTGATGCCCGGCTACCACCAATGACCACTCTGACAGGAAACACAACAGAAAGTCCTGGACAGAACAGGCGAAAAATGTAGAACAGAATTCAAATTCACATAAAAAGACCAGACTTAATGGTCTGATAGAGACTGGAGGAAACCCTGAAACTACCGCCCCCAGATGCTCTGTTAACCCAGAACTGAAGCCATTCCTGAAGCCCACTCTTTGGACAAAGATTAGACAGGACTATAAGACAAGGAAAGATACATATGAGGAACGTGCTTCTTGGTTCAGTCAGATATATGAGACCAAATGGGTGGCTCCTATATGGAGGCAGGATGAGAGGGGAGGAAGGGACAGGAACTGGTCGAACTGACACAGCGAACATGGGGTGGAAGTGGGGAGTGTGCTGTCATATTGTGGGGATTGCAACCAATGTCACAAAAACAGTATGTGTATAGATTTTTGAATGAGAAATTAACCTGAGCTGTGAACTTTCACCTAAAGCATAATAATAATATAAAAAAAGATGTTACTATCGAGGAAAGCTGGATAAAGGGTGTATGGGATCTCTCTGTATTATTTCTTACAACTGCATGTGAATCTACAATTACATAAAAATATAAAGTTGAAATCTCTCTTGACTTACATCCCCAGGTACTACCCCAGCTCTCTGTTCTTTCTATATAGCAAAACTTGAAAGTTGCCTGAGGATGATGTCTCAAATTCCTCTCTTTCCATTCTCTCTTGAACCCACTCTAGTCAGACTTTCACCCCCATCACTCCCCAAGAACTGCTCTTGTCAAGGTCTTCAATGACCCCCACGTTGCTAAATCCAATGGTAATTTCCCACCGCTCACCTTACTTCTGTCAGCAGCATATGACACAGTTTATCACGCCCTCATCCTTAAAACACTTTCTTCACTTGATTTCCAGGGTGCTCTTGGTTTTCTTCCTACCTCATCAATCACTCTTCAGTCTCCCTTGCTACCTCCTCCTGGTCTCCCTGATCTCTATAAACACCATAGTGTCCAGGCTCAGTCCTTGGACCTCTTCACTTCTCACTGCACACTCACTCTCTGGGTGATCTCATCAGTTTTCTAGAATTAAATGTCATCCCTATGCTGATAACTCCCACATTTACAACTCTAGCTTGGACTTACCTACTGAACTCCAGACTCTGATATCCAACTGCCTCCCAGCATATCCACCTAGATTTCCACTTAACGTATCCAAAACTTTCTTTCTGCTGTCTTACGCATCTCAGAAAATGGCAGCTGCATTTCCCAGTTGCTTGGCCAGAAACCTCGGTGCCATCTTTGAATCACCTCTTTCTTGCATACTCCACATCCATTCCATTAGCAAATGGTGGTGGCTCTACCTTCAAAAAATAACCAGAATCTGACTACTATCCACTACCTCACCACCCCCACCCTGGGCAAGCCACCAGCAACCCTCCCCTGAATGATTGCACTGGCCTCCTAACACCTCCCGGAGTTGGCCCTCGCCTGCTTACATTCTAGTCTCATTAGAGCAGCCAGGAGATCCAGTTAAAGCAGGAGTCAGATCATGGCACTCCTCTGCCCAGACTCCCCCAGTGACTCCCCACTTCATGTAGAGTAAAAGCCAAAGTTCTTCAAATATGCCAGCAGGAATAATCGGTAGACAGAATATAACTGATGAGCTGGGGAGAGAATCGTGGGAGTGACACCTTTCAGCAAGCATCCTTGATCTTTTAACTGCCCTATAGAAGCCTCTGCTTCACATTTCATAATCAAAAATGTTCTCCTAACACTAATTCTGATCAGGAAGGTTTTTTTGATCTATGAGGAAAAGAAATCAAAGTCTAAATTACATAGAAATCTATTTCAAGGAAATTTGGTAACATGTCAATCACTAGATATTTTTATACAAAAGGAACTTTTTTTTCCATCTTGCTGAAAGATTCATCTTGCGAATTACACAGCTGTGTTTCCTTCCTAGCCATGCTATTACAATAGGGTTTTTTGCAAAAAAAAAAAAAAAAAAAAAAAAGCAACAATTATTATTAAGGTATTCTTAATAAGATAATTTCAGAAGCAGGTATATATATTTAAAAACTTATATACAGACCTACTGCTCTTTTTAATAAAGGATCTTGCCACTCTTTACTTGTCAGGGAGAATAACAGTCCCACGACTGGGAAAGGAGGCAGGAAAAGTCAGCAGAGGAAATGTCACATCCTGTGGAACAAAGCTCGAGGGGCCTGCTAAGTCATTAGGAATCAGCATAGTATATGTTTCTATGTATATCTGACAGAATGCTGGAAAAACACTGTAAAGCTCCAAATAGTTTAAACCTATTCTCATAAATTTTGTGATTTCCTCATCTAAATTCTTTTACGTGGAGAGGAGAAATAACGTCCATCTCCACCTAATTTATTAACACATAATCTGAATTTAAAGAAGCCCCCCAAAGGACTTTTCATTTCCCAGAAAATCTTATAACTGCCTCTTATTTTCTGGTTCTGCCATCTGATTATGACAGTCATGAGTGATTCCTTGCCTGGTCCCTGAGACAAGATGCTCCATGACGGTTTCAGCTTCGACAACTTTGTTCAAACCCATCCACTGACAAGATTTTTGATGTCTCAGTCGAAAATGTCAAGTGTAAATGCTTTTGAGTGGCAAGTGATGATGCCGTCAAAATTCAAGAGACAGTGAATAAACTACCAAGTTAATAGGTTATTTGAGTTGAACTGTTAAGTTATGATTTCACTCTTTAAAAATTCCAACTATTATCTTCAAAAAAGAGAGTAATATAGACATATAACTGTGTACCATGCCTTTGGTTAGGTCTAATTTCTGCTCTGTTGACTAGAATTAACTTATTTTAGGAAATTAAATAAGTAATCAAAGGATCATGATATTTTAATCTAAACGTTGTTGTTGCTAGCTGCCTTGGAGTTGGCCTCCAACTCATAGGGACCCCATGCACACTGGATCTGACAGTTGTGATCCACAGGGTTTTCACTGGCTGATTTTCGGAAGTAGATCGCCTGGCTTTACTTCCTAGTCTATCTTAGTCTGGAAGCTCTGCTGAAACCTGTTTATCATCATAGCAACAGCAGCCCTCCACTGACAGAAAAGTAGTGGCTGTGCTGAAGTGCACTGGCCGGGAATCAAACCTGAGTCTCCCGCATGGAAGATGAGAATTCTACCGCTTGAACCATCAGGTTGTCTTTCTTTTTCCTCAAATGGTAAATTATCTTTATAACTTAAACAAAACTGCTCCCTAAAAAGCCCAGACATTTAACGAAAGAAGGCTTTTTTTGCACATGGTATTTGATAAAAAGTTTAGTCTTTATATTTCACTTTCTATGGACAGAAAGAATCCCAGCTGAGATCGATTCAACAGGTTTTCTACTGCCACCCTGTGGAGAAATTGAGTATCATTAAGCCAAGTGGGTATTTGCTCTTAAGTTCCATTAACAGAAGGAAGCCCTGGTGGCACAGTGGTTAATTAAAGTGCTTGGCTGTCAACTGAAAGGTTGGTGGTTTGAATCACAACAGAAGACCAATTCTTAAGCAGTAAATGGAAGATTTTTTCCCCTCATTTCCCTCTCCTTTTCATTTCTAACACTTCATCTATCTCCCTCACGGTAAAAAAATCAGAAATCATCTGATTTTACAAGTCTTGTATTTCATGAAAACTATTATATTTGCCATGCTTCTACAAGCCATTGCGTCTCCTACATCCACAAGATCTAAATGTGTTGCAATTCCCCACCTTACAGCTGTATACGCCACAGGACGTGACTGGATGTACAAAGTGAGGCAGCTGTCCATACTGGGGCATACAGAACTTTGCATGGGGAAATCTGGCTGAGTTAAGGGCTACAGGGACAAAATTTTATATCAAAGCCCATGTTGCATTTTGCACATTAACATACTAACATTTTCAAACCATTTCTATTATTTCATTGTATCTTCCTAACAGCCACAAAAGCAATGAAAGCATATAATAAAATTCTATTTATGATGAGAAAAAAGTCCAGGAGTAGTTAGTGGTGAGAATGAGACTAGAAACCAGGGCTCCTGGCTCCTGGTCCAGCTCTCCTAGCACATTTGAACAACTGGGGCAAATTTTCGGTCAAACCAAAGATGTGGCTGCAGGAGAATACAAATTCAAAGAGAGCACTCCCAAGAGATTCTGAGTGGCTAGAACAGAGCAGGGGTTTTCAAACTTGCATGTGCCACCAGAGTCACTGGAGGGATTGTTAACACACAGATTACCAGACCCTATGCCCAGAGGTTTTGAAGGTCTTGGGTGGGACCTGAGAAGCTGCATTTCCAACAAGTTTCCAGGTGGTGGTGATGTTGCTACTTCTGGCCTGGGGTCACAGACATGGAGAACCACTGGAGTAGAGGATACCCAAACCAAACCTGTTGCTTGTCAAGTGGATCCCGACTCATAGTGACCCTACAGGACAGAACAGAACTTCCCCATAGGGTTTCCGAGGCTGTAATCTTTATGGAAGCAGACTGCCACATCTTTCTCCTGCAGAGATGCTGGTGGGTTCAAACCACCAGTCTTTTGGTTAGCAGCAAAGAGCCTTAACCGCTATGCCACCAGGGCTCCTTGCAGTAGAGGTTAAAGGTTTGTACATCCTATATTCTGACTCCTATCTTTCTCTTACGTCAAAGAAAGAGAGGAGTCAGAAATATTACCCTTCTTTCAGGAGCCTCTTCAATAGGGCTAATAGAACTGGGACACATTTCAAAGTGTTTCTACCATATTTAGTAAAAATAGGCAATATTTAAACACTGAAACTACAGGAGGAAAACAAAACCTCACAAGACCAATTTGATCAAGGTCAGCTAAAGGACTCAGTGCTTTTCTGAGCCATAACAAAAGCACCATTGTAGAATGGGTTGTTAGGAATTTTCACCCTGTTTAAGTAAAGTTCATGATTTTCACAAAATAAAATACAGGCAATATGGCAGGCTAGATAATCTGAAAAATCTTCCAACTATATTCTGCAAAAATGTAACGGATGTCTACTCAAATGCACAGGTGAGTTGGCAGGGAAGTCAAGTTAAATCCTTGAGGGCCAAAAATGAATCACTGAGGAGGTTTTAACTATTGCCCAAGCAGCAGGGTCAGGGCACAGAGGGAAGGCTTCTCCCACTGTCAGTTCCCATGAGAGAAATGGCAGCGCCACTTCCAGCTACTCTGCTTTTCTTGAATATTTATGGTTTCCAGCTGGGCTTTACAATCTTGATCCTCTATGGGCTATCATAAAATTCTCTGAAATGAAGCTCAATGGGTCAGCAAAGAATTGTTTTTAAAGCCTTTGGGAAATTTCTCCCTCATTTCCTTGTTGGACTACCTCAAGCTGGAGTCATCAGAACAACCATCTTCTAGGTAATGAGGACCTGAAGGCTGGAAATCCAGGAGAAACGTAACCAGTGTAGAAAATATGATATACTAGAACCACACGTCATACTTTTAAGGCTCTTTGTGATTATTAAGTGGATGGTAGACACAGCATCACTAAGTTTATGGTGGACGCTATGGTGGACACAGTAACACTAAGTGTACGGCGGACGCTATGGCAACATCACTAAGTGTATGGTGGATGGTATGGGGGATGCAACATCGCTAAGTGTATGGTGGACGCTATAGTGAATGCAACATCATAAGTGTATGGTGGATGCAGTATCACTAAGTGTATAGTAAATACACTATCACATCAAGTCCTGAGCACCCTTGTGCTCTTCTGCCAGTGCTCAGGAGTGAAAAACCAGATCACAAAACTGAGGTGATAGTGAGGATAGAAACAGTGGAGAACAATGGAATGGGCAACAGAGTCAACAACCGTGCTCCCCAAATCAAAACAACAATCTTTAACAGGCTAGTCTTTTAAAATGAGTCTGGATGTAGTAAAAACTATGAAAGAAACAACAAGACAAGCTTAAGTAAAACATAGCACTAGAGAAAACACTCAAAGGCCACCTTCTTCTGTGGAGAGACCAGGAAGTATATACTTGGGAGCGACATAGTCAAGATAACTAAAGGAGAA